CAATTCAGAGGAAACTGCTACACAATAACAAAAAGCCCTGGCTTCAAATGAGAGGTCTGTGACTTCAGGTTGGGCATCAGTGAGAACAGGGAATGGGTGACTGTAACAAGTGTTTCTCTGTCCAGACAGCTCCCAAAAAGAGACATGGAAACTTCTTACTAACTATGAAAATTTGGCTTATAGCTTAGGCATGTTCCTAACTAGCTCTTATAACTTAACCCATTTATATTAATCTACATTCTGCCATGTGATTCATAGCTTTACCTCTCCTCTTGCACATCCTGTTTGCCCTGTGTCTCCTGGCATCTTTGCCTTTCTTCTTCCCAGAGTCCTCCCTGTCCCCAGAAGTCCCACCTAACCTCTTCCTGCCTAGCTATTGGCCATTTAGCTCTTTATTAAACCAATCAGAAGGTGCCTTGGCAAAGACACATCTTCACAGTGTAAACAAATATTCTGCAACAGGTGACCTTCTAAGAGGCTGTTCATCAGAAGCCCCATGGACACCAGGTAACTTGCTCCCTGGCCAACTCACCCAGGAGAGGCAGCTTCTCTGTCCTATGCATGGACAATCTTGAGAGATGGAGACTGCAAACACTGTATCTCTTCTCAGTGATTAATCTTGCTGGGTAAACTTTTTTCTTGGCTTTAATTGGCAATTGTTTCTACTCTTTTTATTTTGCTGTGGGCTAGGAGTTATTCCTCAGTTCCAAAGCGCAGTCTTCTATTTAGCGTGATGAAAATGTCCCAGTGCAACAATTCTGAGCATGTCCTTCCTGTTTTGTTTTGTTGCTGTTCTTGTTCCCTCAAATAAAGACAGTGTATATCAACTGCATTTCAGACTGTGCAGCAGTGGAAAGCATTTCAACACATATGTGCTTCCATTCTTCAAATTAAAATCCATTTACTGAGTGTCTTCCCCATGCAGTTGTGGCTATCTGTGAACAATTCTGTTCCTAGATCAGTTAGAGGTAGCAATATGCTTTTACACACACTGTGTACATCTTCTTGAGTTTGAAAACGGTGATGACGTACTAGAATTATCACAATAATTTGATGTTTTGAACATAAAATATCAATGATGTGTAGAATACGTTTTGACTTCATTTATTAGAGACAAATTGGTCTCAGTTAAGTATCCCTGGCTGGCTTAGAGCTTGAGAGATGGTTTTATTGCCTCTGCCTCCTGAGTGATGGATTGCAGGTTTATACCACTATTTCTCGTTTTTCAGTAAGTTTTTACATTTGAACTCAGGGTATAAAAGAGACCCCAAAGGTTTAAGGAAAGTGTTATTTAGGTCTCATACACTAAGACACATTTTGATGGTGGCAGGGATGAGAGAGAGCTCTGAGGAGGATAGACTGGCAATCAATTCACCTGGGTGTTCTGGGAAAAACATACCTGACAAAGATGAGGTGGTGGCCCCTATAAGTCCTATCTGAAAAGGAGAGGCTAGTGGCTGTTGGGACTGATCATCCTTATGGGTCTGGACAATGCCCTGTTCGCCACCAGGCTACGTGGTCATATCCAGGACAAAGCCCATCCAGGCCACTCTCAGCAGGAGGACAGCAGGAGGCAGAGTTGGGTCTAGAATCTTGTCAGTCACCTTCTGCACTAGGTGTGGGCCCCTCTGACCGTGGAAGGGGCTGTGCTTGGGAACTCTGAATGTTGTAGGAAGGATTGTTTGGAAGCAAACTCTGCTTGAATGGCCAGTTTTCCTTGCTTCTTCTAGACTAGACAGAGCTCCTTTTCAGTGGAGGTAGTTGATCTGTTTTCAACTTTAAGATGTCATAGTTAGCTTCAGCTGTCAACTTGATATAGCCCAGAATTACTTGGGAAGAGGGAATTTCAATTGGAGAATTGCCTCAATAAAATTGGTCCGTGGGCATTTTCTTAATTGCTGATTGATATAGGAGGGCACAGTCCACAGTGGGCATACCATCTCAAGGTAAGGGGTCCTGGCCTATATAAGAAAGTTAGCTGAGCAAGCCTGAGAGAATGAGCCTTCCTTCATGGCTTGTGCTTGAGGTTCTTGCTTTGGGCACTTGCCTTGAATCTCTGGGTTATCACTGTTCCCTGGAATGTAAATCAAATATACCATTTCTTTAGTAAGTTGCTTCAGGCCTTGGTGTTTATCACAGCAATGGAAAGCAAACTAGAACACAAACCCTGGTGAGGTGAGTAACTTTTCAGAGAAGGCCTGCCTGTCACCTAGCCAGTCTGCAGACTCTGGTCTTGCCAAGGCAGCTTGCACATGGATGCAGGAGACCCCTGAGAGACAAACAAGGGATACAGTGGAAGAATGCTTCAGGGCACCAGCCTAGACTCCACAACAGCACCCTCACTCCAAGAACACCACCTTGCCACACACATACAAAGGTCTAGTTTAAGTCATCCGAATAAACAAGGCAATCTGGGTGGTTCCCCATGCATGTACAGTTTGTCAGAGGGCTGTTAGCCTATAAATGACATTTGGTATGAATGGTCTACATATGAAATGACATTTGGTATGAATGGTCTACATATGGTCTACATTACCTGACTCTTAGTCCCTTCACAGAAGGGAATGAATGAGGCTAAGAATTTCTGTTGTGTGCTGTTTTCTCCCTGATCGGCTTACCATGGCTCACCATGAAGGCAACGATACCTAGTTATGTGTATTGTACAGGGAAAATACTAAATGGAAGGAAGGGGAGAAAGTTGCCTAGACACGTGGCCCTTGGTGGTGCTTGATGCCAGCAGGTACTAGGTTTCCTTATTCAAATGAGAAACCTGCACATGTTAGCAGGGAGCTTCCTTCCAAGAAAATGCCACCAGCTTCAGAGAGGCTATATAATCATCCTGTGATTGAGCCAGTGCATAGCAGTTGCTGCTCTTGGCTGAGAAAGCCCTTATCTTCAATGCCTGCCAGACCTGAAAGATGGCTTCTGACCACCGTAATTGACAAGGAAACTTGCTCAGAAAGCATAAGAGCTTTAATTTCTGGGCTGCAGGGTAGTTTGGTGGGTAAAATGCTTTCCATGCAAGCCAGAATACCTGGATTCAATCCTTGGAACCTACTGAAAGACACCAAGCATAATAATATATGCTTGTAGTCCCAGCCCTGGGGAGGCAGAGATAGAAAGATCCCCTGGGACTAGCTGACCAGCTAGCCTATTCTATGTGGTGGTTCCAGGGCAGTTTGAGACCCTGAGGAACAACACCCAAGGTTGATGTCAGGCCTCCACACACATTCGCACACACATATAGTAACATTGATTTACCCAAGATTGGAGAGAGGATTTGAACATGGGTCTGCTAAAGTGTAGAAAGCTCTTGTTTTCCCTACCATATCAAGGTTCTCTGTGCCATTTAAATAGGCTGAGCCCGTGGACAAGCTACCACCTATGCTTTCTTAAATTTGAGGTGCCCAAGACACTTTTGGGTTGCACTTCAACCTTCTGTTGAAGGGGCCCAGCCGTCTCCCATCGTCTACCTCACCTAATCCCTTCATTTTCTTCTCCTCATTCAGTCATTCCTCTAATCAGAGTCAGACTCTGACTAAATATCTTCACACCCTTGGTCTGTACATTCCCTGCATTAGCCCTCCACCTGCTCTCCATGTTTCTCCTTCATTCTGCAGACTTTGGAGAAAGTGACTGTCTCTTACATATTCACTTCCACAGAGTTTGCTGATGAATTAAAAATAATCTCCCAACACTGTTGTGGCCTGAAGGAACTAAGTGGCAGTGGGAATGAGTCGATCCCTAAGACTGCAGTGTCTCTGAGAAACAGCTCAGATGCCACTGAAAGGCAGGGAATATGCTGGAGTTCCTCCACCCCGCAGAGCTTGCTGCCTCTCAGGGTCTGAAGTGACAGTGTTTGTTCCCTCTGCTGTCATGTTACACTTCCTGGAGTCTCTGTGGATGGTACCTCTCATTTTTTTTTCCCTGCAGAAATGATGGAAATGTGTCATAGATGTCAAAGTCAGTGGCTCCAGCAGTTGCAAGCAAAACTTGTTGACTCCTACTACATCTCACTCACCACCTGAAGACTTGACTGCAACATATTAGAGTGTGTGTGTGTGTGTGTGTGTGTGTGTGTGTGTGTGTGTGTGTGTGTGTGTGTGTGTACACTCTCCTAAGGAAGATAGATACTTTTGCTGTGCTTTGAAACTCCAAACCTATTGATCATCAGGGGTAAAGATAACTTATTATCATCTGATGGTATGATATTGGAAGGGCATTTTCCCTCTTTTTCAGACTAAGGTCTGTGTCCACCTTGTACAAGTGTATTTGTCAAATGCAAGTTCCTTCAAGTGCATAGAGTAGATTGAGCATATTCAGTAACTCCAGCAAAGGTACAAGCTAATCTGCATGTACTTTCTGAAGTTTTGTGGCTTGTGCAAGAGAGACTTCGGGTTACTAGCCAGTCTCAGTTTCACCAGTGTTTTCTTGTTTTCTGCCACTTAGTGTTCTTATTTCACAAAAACCAAACAAGACCAAAACAAAAAACAAAACAAACAAACAAACAAACAACAAGAGAAACTGAAAAACTACACTATCTTGAATTCTGAATATTTTTTTGGCTTTATATGAATGAAATGATGGAGGAGGCAGTTTTAATTCTAGTAGTCTAATGTTCACCTGATTCCATTTATAAATTCTAAGTCACCATACTTTCATTTAATATCTTCATTCCTCCAAGCATAGTTAATCTATGATGATGAAAGTGGCTTAGACCATACAGTTTTTCACCTGTAGATGGGATGGGGGCTCTTAAAACCACTTTCATCTGCAGGATGGATTAGCTAATTAACTAATTAGTAGAGGAACCGGAAGTAGAGCAATGGTCCCGATTACACAACCCATCTCTCTGTCACCTGCTGACTTTGATGGAGGGAGGGAAGGCTTTCACTCTTGTCTCAATCTGCTTGTTGTTTTAATATATCCTATAGGTCTCAAACTGTTAGTGCATGAATCTTTCTCCATTCTTTGATTTCTTGGAGGTGACCACAGATTCCCAGTTTCAGCTCCAACATAAACCAGATAAGCCAATCACCCATCAAACTTCTCCTGTCTAGAAGAGCATGGGGACTAAGTGACCAGACTTCACTTGTTACATTCAGCCCAAGATGAAACAGTTCCAGGAGCCTATACTTCAGTGGGAGTATACCAAGTGGGAGACTGACTCAAAAGAGTCACAAGCTCTTGGCAACCCAGTGGGACACCATGTGAAATGCTGCCACACAGGTGAGGATGGGATCAGGAAGTCCCTAGAGTGCAAAGAAATTTTTGAAAACCTGTTTCTCCTCACTCTTAAGGAGTTTGTGAGTTTGGGGACAGAAACAACACATATCCATGCCCTGTACCATGAAGTAGTTAACGTGTTTGAAGGAAAGCACCATGTCCCTCCACTCCCATGAGCTTGTCCTAGATTTAGAGGTCACACATGGGTTGGTCACATTCCACCCCCCCCATTACCTGTTCAGAGACAGACATGGTCACTGCTTACAAAGGCTTCTTCTTTTGAGGACATTAGTCTCAGCTCCTCCTATCACTTCTGCGTAAAGGAATTGGGTGTCATGGAATGCTACCCAATGCTCAGTTGAAGGGAAAGATAGCTGAGTAGGCTAGCTAGAATCATCGCCTTGGGTGTAGATTCAGATCCAGATGGCCACACATTTCCCTTGGATAGAGCTCCTTCTTAGACCACAGCCATTGAAACAGACCAGAGTTGCTAAGCTGGTAGTGGCACACGCCTTTAATCTCAGCACTTGAGAGTCAGAGGCAGGCAGATATCTGAGTTTGAGGCCAGCCTGGTCTATGGAGCAAGTTCCAGGACAGCCAGGGCTACCCAGAGAAACCAACAAAAACCAACGAACAATGGACCAGGAAGAATCACAGTGCATTTTTCCCTGGAATAAATTTCCATTCCCACCACCCTGAGTACCAGGCATCAGCAAGAACCTGTATAAACAAAAGGCTGCAGGGTTGAGAGCCTTCACAAGTGGTAGATAAACTTCCAGAAAAAGATGTCTTCAGCATTATAAAGGCAGATTGGTACACAAAGGTGCTGTGGTTTGAGTGAGAAGTGTCCCCTACAGGCTCATGTATTTGAACACTTGGTCTCCAGCTAATGGTGCTGTTAGAGGTGGTTGTGGGAACTTTAGAGTTCCCTCATTAGAGGAAGTGATCCTTGGAAGTGGGCCTTGAGGTTTTATAGCCCAGTCCTGCTCCCTGTTCACTCTGTCTGCTTCCTGAGTACAGCTGAAATGATACAAGCTGTCTTCTGCTGTTATGGCTTCCCCTCCAGGATGGACTGTTTCCCTTGAACTCTAAGCCAAAATAAAGCCTTCCCTAAACTGCTTCTTGTCAGGTGTTTAGTTATGCAAATAAGGAGAGTATCTAACACGCTAAGGAAAGACATGGGAGTAATTCTCTTCTTGGCGGAACAGGGTCATGTGATCCCTAGTCAGTTTTTGCAACACACAAATAACAGAAAGCTGGTGTTGGTCGGTTGGCATGACTAAGTTGGAATAAAACAGCCCATGGGTCTGATTTAGCACAAGTGTGTATCACAGGAAACTGTGCTTGAAACTGGCAGTAACCTAGTTCTAAACAACACTGAATGGAATTTTCACTCTGGGAAGGGAGGTATAGGACTATGGCAACAAATAGAGAACCAAATATATTTGAAAGACCCAAGGAATTTGTGAGGTCCTGCTTGGGATCAGGATGCCACTAATGGCTTCCTTTCAGTGGTGCCTTTAGGATTGGTGGGTACAGAGGAATTTTGACAAGTGACACCTTTCTTCATGTCCATGGGGGAAGGGGACTTGTGTCAGGGACCATCATTGGGCAAGGGAATGGAAGCAGGGACAGAATACAGGACAGGAGAAGAGGAGACTACTGAACGATTATTGGTTACAAAGATGGATGGCAAATGATGCCATTTGTTTTTTAGGCATCAAACAACATGGCCATGATGAACTCCAGAACATGGTTTCCTACTGGAAGTTAGTTGGTTGCTTGAACCATCTGTTTCACAAAAATACCCCCTCTGATTGATCATAGTGGCTTGAGTACTCCCAGCTAAGGCTTTTCTAAATACCGAAACTAGAAATATCTCATTTTCTTTACATTTTTGACCATATTATTCACCTGAAGCTAATTGCCTGGAGCTGTAGCCTACATATGGATATCTATGGATGCACATGTCTCATTTCTCCAAGCAGATATTCATCTTCAGGAATGAGAAGGCACACTGCAAACTTGTTTCTCCTGTGTGTCTCACCATGAAATAGATGCTTAACGAGCTTTTGCCGAAAGCCTGATATAGAGAAAGCTCGGCTCATGATTCCGACTCTCAATTTAGTGCTATTGACAGGAAACCAAACCCTCAAGATCCTAATGATGTGGTACAGCCATCTTAACAGAGAATTCACGTGCTGTTCAATACTTTGTTTTCACTTCTCCAATATACTAACTCGTGCGAGTGTTTTGAAGAGTAATGAATAAATAAAAGTTGCCAACCAATCATGAATATAAGGCTATATCTTCAAATTAAGGCAATGTTAAGAGATAAGTGTGCAACCAATAGTGACATCCTTGTAATGAAGTTAAGTTTTGCTTTTAAGTAATTTTTTCCATGCATAGATAGTTTTGTGAACCAAAGTTTTATGGACTAACTGGCAAGTGATCCTGATAACATACACAGATTATGTAAGTATTTTTGAGATGGATGAGAACTTTAAAAAAATTTTGAAAACGTGTTATGATTCTCTGGCCTTAACTGTCTTTAACCTCTAAATGATGAAAAATAAATATTGGGCATTAACTTTCTAAAAAAAATAAAGTCAGAGGCTAGGGACATAGCTCAATCAGTAGAGTGCTTGTCTAGAATGCCTGAAGCCTGGCATTAACAGCACCGCATAAGCTGGGCATGGTAAAACACACCTGTAATCATAGCACTGCAGAGGTGGAGGGTTCAAAGTTTCCACTCACACACAGCTACGCACTGGGTTTGAGGCCAGCCTGGGATACATATGGCCATGTCTTAGAAAAATATAATCAATGTTTTCATTAATTAATGAATCTGACTGGGTCCTACTGTCTCCCAAGTCCTGGTTTCCCTCTTCAGACAAATCAAAGTTGTATTTGGTCTTTTCTTCAGTGATATACTTGCTGGTATCCAGCCTTCCAGTACTGTGACAACACACTTAAAAGACCTCCATCTGTGGTTACTGGCCCTGGTGCCATGGGGTTTTGCTGAGGGAGAGCAGCATGACAGGGAGTACATAGCAGGATATATTCACTGCCTGGTTTTTGGGAAGGGAGAACTGGGGTTCCAATGTACTTTAAGGACATATCTCCAGGTGTCTTAATTCCTTCCAGTAAGATCGCCTCTTGAACTTTCCACCATTTCCCAAGCCATCACAGGCTGGGTACATAGCCCTCATTACCTTCATCAGGTAGGTGCTTAGGAGACATTTGTCCCAACCACACACTCTTTGTAGATAAAAATGCTTCCAATCATGTCTTTGACCTTTACAATATGAATATTGCCATGCTGTGTTTACATTCTATGATGATTTTGCAGTGTTATTTTTCCATTGATCAGTATGTCTAGAAATTATTCTATATATATGCCTGTCGTTTTGTTATAACACTGCAAGGGCTAAGCAGTGGAACATCGATTATTCTCAGCTTTCTGTCTGCTGGCTTACAGAATACAGAATTCAGATTTTTTTGATGGACTGTTCTTCAGATTGGATCTGGTCTTTGGATATTCCATGTGAATCATTACAGGAAGTTTATGGCCTCATTCTCATTTGAAAAATCCACACTGTAATTTTCACAACTACATCCCTGAGAAGCTTCCCTTTCTCATGCTTGCACCTTTGTCAGCCTTGAGCTCTTACTGGAGACACTCTCATCCAATTTAGGAGACGTTTTACAATGATCTTGTGTGCTCACTGGGTAGATTTGAGCACAACAAATCTTTTCTTCCTGGAACTTTCTTCCTTTGGTTCCTGTGATGTCATCTGTCCTTCCTTTCTTCTATCTTTATTTTCCTTTTCTGGGTGCTTGTCTAATGTCCCTTTTCTAGTCTTTCTTCTCTTTCTTGTCTTTGCCATGATGATCAACTTTTCCAAAATCTATCTTGTGATGACTTTATCTAAATTAGGCTGGGTTTCCTTTCCTGGCAATGGGTAGATAGCTAATGTTTAAGCAGTGTGGCTATGTGGTTCCTATTCCCACCACTCATCTTTGTTATAGTGGCAAGAAAACAGCAGTGGGTGGTGTGAAAATGAATGGTTTTTGGCTGTGCTCCCATAAAACTTTATTTTAAAAAGTAGGCTGGATTAGGCTTGCAGGGTACAGTTTTCTGACTTCTGTTTTTAGCTCCTGGATTCAAGTCATGCATTATATCATTCTTCTTCTGTTCTGTAGACTGGTGCCTCCTCACAAGGCTTTAATATTTGGGAATATTAAAGACTCAGGGAACTCTTGTGGCTGCTTTTTATTCAGGACCCTCCCAGGAGTCCGGTCTCCACACAGCATTCCCGTTGTTGTGACTGGCAGTAGGGAGTGAGCATCCTTGGTATGAGGGGCCATGCCATGTTGAAGTTGAGTCCACATACAATCTGGAGCCTGGCCATGTAGTTTGAACTGTTGGCTACTCTACTCACTACTTCTAGTATTTGAGAAATAATCTTCTGGTCCTCATCACCTTCAGCTGTAAGAGGGAGACACTGGTAACTTAGCCATTGTGATACATACTGAGAACTTGGCATGTGGTAGGTGTTATATAAATTATTGTGTGTCATGTCGTGGTTGTTATTACTTTTTCCCTTCCGCTAATGGACCATCAATGCAAGAGTCTTGCAGTTGTCCTACTAGATGGCTCTTTATTTTTCCCATTTATTTATAAGTATGAGTGTTTTCTTGCATGTATATATGTGTACCGTGTATGTGCCTGGTATTCGTGTGTGCCTCATGCTTATGGAGGTAAGAAGAGAGCATTGGATACCCTGGGTCCTCTGTAAGAGCAACATGTGCTTTTAACCACTGGTCTATATATCTACTTGTTAGGTGGCTCTTGAGTGTGCCCATTTGCTTTGATTTCTTTGCCAACTTTACAGGTTGGGTTAAGACCATCTCTTGTCCTGCATGAGGCTCCTATGTGTTCTTGTCCTCTTCCAATCTACTCTCCACAGGGATCCTAGATGAATCTTCTAGGAAAGCAAGTCTTGTTTATATGACTCTCCTTTAAAAAAACATTTATTTATTTTACTTTTTGTGTATGCATGTGTCCCATGTGTATGCAGGAGCCCAAGTAGGTTAGAAGAACCATTGGATCCATGGAACCAGAGTTATAGATGGTTGTAAGACACCATATGAGTGCTGGGAAGTAAACTTGGATCCTCTATAAGAGCAGCAACTACTATTAATCGCTGCACAATCTCTGTAATCTCATGACTGCATTTAGGAAATACTTCAGTGGTTTCTCATTGGCATTGGGCTAAAATCATCCTAAAGTTCCCACTTCATCTGGCCCTGCCTGTCTTTCAAGCTTTCTCTTTTTCCTACCTCTCCCCTTTCTGAGTCTGGTACCATCATTCCTCTTACACCCACCATCTCCGGCTTCTGGTTCTCAGCTCCTCTATATTTCTAGTACTTCAGGTGTCCACATGCTTTCAGGATCTCTGCACATGCCATTTTGTCTGCTCCAGTAGTTAATTCTTTATCTGGTACTCATAGACTATGTGTAACAACTTGCAATTTGCTTATGTCACCATATAATATGTTGTAACATTTAAAGCTATTGTTTATAGATATAGTAAAATGAGAGTCTCACTTAAAGCTATTGTTTATAGATATAGTAGAACGAGAGTCTTAGAGTCTAGATCCATGAGAATCTCATTCACCAATTCCTTACTTTATCTTCACTGTTTAGCATGGAGCTGTTGCTCATTATTTTTAATGAATGAAGTCAACACACACACACACACACACACACACACACACACACACACAGCTATTCTTTGAAACAAGGTTTTACTATATATCCAAGGCTGGCCTCGAACTTATGATCTTCCTACCTCAACCTCCTGAATATTGTAGTAACAGCTGTGTGCTGCTATGCTCATCTTGAACTCCGTATTTGACACCGATAATTAGCCTAAAGCTCACAGTCACCTCTCTGCTTCTGCAGCTCTCCTGATTGGAAAGAGGATACTTCTCACAATGCTGGACACAGAGACACTGGATGTGGAGTCAAGCCACTTTATCCGCTGCTCCTCAGGAATCAATAAATGTTAAAGAAAAGCTATCAGGTAGGGGCTGCCCTTGGCACATGCCTAATGAGAACTCAAAAATACCATTTTAATTCTGATTTTCAGGTTTCATAACTAAGCATTTTCTAAAAATAAATGAACATTAAACAGTTCAAATCCTACATGTTTTAACACTGGAAAATAAGGCATGTAAGGCTAAAGATGACACAGCTAACCTAATGCTTCTCTAGTCCAAAGGGAGCAGATTCTCCAGACAAAATGGCTCCCCGTTCTTTTCTCCACTGGTCTCTTTTGTTTGCTCCCCTCTCTCTCTCCTCCCCTCTGTTTCTTCTCTCCTCTTTCTCCCTATGGAATCCCACCCTTTCTTTTTGCCTCTCCCTTCTTTCCCTATCTCTCTGCCTAGTACCCTCTCATATTTTGCAGTCTATTACACACCACTGAACTCTTTTCCTTTGATTTGCTTTACCAAGTTGCTGTTTTTATTAGTGTATGTGTATCCCTTGTACAAGATGATAGGTTTCATTGTGATATTTTCACATGTCTCTGTCTTATAATTTGCTCACTGCCGTCCCTTCCCCCCCACACTCAGGTACTCTTCCTCCGCCCAAGCAGTTCTCATTCTACTTTCATGCCTTTTAAAGATAAATCTTATTCCAGATATCAGAGAAGTCATGTCCTATCCATCTTTCTGAATCTGGCTTCTCTCACTTAACATAGTGATCTCCAGTACCATCCTTTTTCCTGTGAATGACCCAGTTTTTCTCTTCTCTGTGGTTGAATTAAAACCCCATTGCATATGTAGACAATATTTTCTTTTTCCAATCATAGTCTGATGGAGAAGAGCTTGCTTTGTAAACTAACTGGCCCTAAACTCACTGTCTATCCCCATGCCTTGGCATCCTGAGACCTGAGATCACAGACATATGCCACCAGACCTGGCTTTCCTTTGTTTTTAAACAGAACCCTCCCTAAAAACATTCTTTCTCTGTGTCATATGACTTTTCCTGCCTAGATATGAACATATCTATTTATTCAGATACAGCACTGAAGACATGTCAAAGAAACAACGTTACCCAAGTCTAACTCAATGAGTCAGTGAATTTCATTAGGTACTTAGAAAGGGACAAGTGAGGGCCTTCTTACAGCAGCATGGATACCTCAAAATCAGCCGTGTCCCTACAAAGCCTACTCAGCATGGGTGAAAACTGCATCCCTGGAGCTCCAACACAGCTTTCAGGCAGCATTGTTTCAGCTAGCCTTCAGAGTCTCCTCTGTCCTGTCATTGCTACTATTTACCTAACCTTGTCAAAGGGCCTGTGGTTCTTGTAAGTTTCAGGAGCTTCCAAGGATTTGTAAATTTTGCTTGCTTCCTGAGTCTTAGGAAGAAATAGTAACAACAACCTCTGTCCTGTACCAAATAAATAAATAAATAAATAAATAAATAAATAAATAAATAAATAAGTGGGGCTGGGGAGATGGCTCAGTGGGTAAACTGCCTGCTGTGTAAGCATGAAATTATGAATTAGATCCCGAGAACCCACATAAGAAAAGCCAGTCATGGTAGTGTGCTTGTAACTCCAGCACTGGGGAAGCAAAGACAGGAGGATCCTTGGCACTCACTAATAACCCTGCACAATCTACTTGGTGATCCCCAAGTCAATGAAATATGGTGTCTCAAAAAGCAAGATGGACAGCACTTGAAGGATGACAACTGAGGTTATCCTCTGGCCTTTGCATATGTGCATGGGTACACATTTGTACATCTGAACTCACTCACTCTCTCTCTCTCTCTCTCTCTCTCTCTCTCTCTCTCTCTCTCTTTCACACACACACACACACACACACACACACACACACACACACAGAGCCTTAAGAGGTAAAGTCATCGCCTCAGCCAGACATGGAACTTCCAATTTGGGGACTGAAGAAGGCATTTGGCTTGGAAGGCACCATGGTAGACGGCATGGGCACAGGTCGACTGATGGTGGCTAGTAAAGAAGGCTCCAACAAAGGAAGAGAAGGGGCTACAGCTTGGGTGGCTGCCTTCCCACAGAGGCACAGGACACTTCTATCCTGAATCCAGGAATCCAAGAATGACTGGGGAGATGGTGAGAAAAAAAATGCATTTTGATGAAAATCCAATTAAAGGAACAATTAACTGAGAGCTTACTCACACAACACTGCTTGATGAGTTTCAGGAGGCTGCTGGAAGGGATGGGCCTGTACCCTGGAGGAATTTATAGTGTGGGGGTGGAGCGGGCAGGAGAGGGGTACCAAGAAAACAAGAAGGGGTGAGGTGAGGCCGAGGAAATATCAGAAGGCCGTGTGTGCTACTGTGGTGGTATGTCAGATTCTTGTGCCTGAGGATTAAAAAGAAATTCACAAAGGGCAGTATCTGTGACCCCCTTCCAGCTCCCCCAACAGCCCCTGTGCCCCCAAATGCACTGCTGCAGGAAAGGGGATTGAAAACCTTTGGTAAATAGTGACTTTCCCTCGTAAATCATATTTAAATGAGACAGCTGTATTTTTGTACTTAGTGCTTAGCCAAATCCTATTTAATTAACCTACTTAGACTTGTTGATTGAGGTTAATTAGACCCTGGGATTGATGTTAATTGCCATTGTAAACTGCCAATGTTATAGGCAGCACATTTTGGATTTGGCAAAAGGAAAAAAAATAAGGTAGAGATCTATTTTCTAGCAGGCTTATCTTTTGTTCTATTCTTCCCATCCCTTCACAGACAGAAAAGCATTCCTCTATCCCCAATTGCCTTTGCTTTTGTTAGGGCGGTGGCTTATTAAAAGCTATGCTTCCATTTTGGTTCCTGATTGCTTAGGTATGACTAAAGATGGCCTCTTATTGTTCCCTCTTCCCTCCTCTCTTTTCTCTTTATGCCCCTACCATATGGCCATGGGAGCGCCGACACACACACACACACACACACACACACACACACACACATACATGCAGGCATATACTCAATGCACACACAAACGCATGCATACACACATGTGTAAGTGTGCACTCACGCACCTAGGCACATGCACAATGCACAAATATGCACACATGCATGCCCCCACACAGGTACATAGTCTGCAATCTGTGCCTTCTAGGTATATTCTCTGAAGTGCCATGGCTTTTCTCTGCATGTTGCTTATAGAACACTCTGGACTTACACAGAAAAGAAGTCACTCTGGTAAAATGTGTCTGGGGGGAGGACACAAGGGTGGAGAAATACATACAAGAGAGAAAAAGAGAAAAGCTCACACTCACAGTGACAATGTGCAAGGGGACCACTGTGCTTCCCTATTTTATTTAGATTTCGGAGGAAAGAGGAGAAAAATGAGCGGGGGTGGGGGGAGGGGGAGAACATGACGATGCAGCAGTCTTAAAATTCTGTTAAACAGATGACAGCGCTGTCCCCCATCTGCCTTGGTGAAAGAGGGAAGCTAAGGGCCTTCTAAGTAGAAATCAATGACATTTTTTCACATAATGTTCTTCAATTTAGAAAATTTGATTAAAATTCTATTTTCTGCAGAAGCTAAAGAAAATGCCCATTCTGGATTCTTTGAAGCTGATTGAACCTCAGTGAGGGTTTTAAAATACCCAATACTGGGCTAAATGTCCTGTAAACTCCCTCTCACCCTACTCCTCCAGAACCAGCTGCTCTTCTACTCACTTCAGTTCAGGAAGCCCGTTGTGCTGAAGATGCCCTCTGTTCATGGAGATGTGTCTGGGTGTGGAATTCTGGGTACACTCATTTAAAATACCTAAATGAACATATACTTGGACCTCAGCTGGGGTGCTATGGGTGTAAAATTCTCACCTCCCTCCCGTCACCACTTCCCTGTGCTCTTCATTAATGACCTATGACTCTCCTAGTATGCTCCTGGGAACAAATGCAGCCATCCACCAACGACACACAGTCAGCAAGGTGACAGAATCATCGTGGACTTGAACCTCCCCTGGAGCATCGTAGTTGTAAGATCTCAAGAGGAGCAAGAGAAGTGTGCCTGGTGGGCAGGTCATCCTTTTGCATTGCATGTATTTATGCATTTGTGTGTTTCTGCTGAAATTCTGCCTTCTAATTTCAAAAGTCTAGGTAACAAGAAGAATCTTAGCATTTCGATCACCCATTTTGTTACCTAGCCATTTTAGAGTGTTCTTGTTGCTGTAATGGCATATACCAAACCCAAGATAAGGGTGATTTGTAAGTAACAGAAGTTTATTTGCTCATGGATCTCAAGTCTGGGGTGTTTAAAGTACTAAAAGGTCTGTTGCCTGTTTTCCTCTGGGATGGCTCCTGACCACTTGTCCATTGTTTTACAGCAGGGAGATAGACTGGGCCTTCATGTGACAGAGGGCAAAAGAGTGGGAATGGGTGGAATGGGGAAATGAGGTGTTGGTAGAGGTGTAACCAAAATGAAGATAAGCTATATGGAAACTTTCCAACCCAAGAAAGAATTCAATTAAAATGTATAATAAAGACAAGTGACATGAAAGGTGAGTGATGGAATTCTTGAGGTTAATGATTAACTGGACATAGGGGACTTGGGAGGCAGAGATGCTAGTGGGCAGGTTAGCTAAAACTAAGGATACATGAAGAAGCCTAAGGGAAATCCACTGGTTAGTAAGCTAATCAATATGCATACTATAAAAATAAAAATAAATCTGAACCCTGAATAGGTAGACAATACCTGTCCCAAAATGCTGGCACCCAAAACAAAACAAGCAATTGCCATGGCTTTTGGTTGCCCACCAGAACTAGATATGGAGACTTTGTTGCTACAGACATCCTTACTTTAGATGCAGAGCATAGAGAAATCAACTTCAAGCTTACCAGGAAATCTCCTCCATGCTACCTCGCTAAGATAGCCTCAGAAGGGGCTATACAGGCTATGGTGAGTAGAAAAGGCCAAGATGCTGGATCCTGCAGGCTTCAGTATTGATCTACTGACTAGATGTGCCTATTGATGGAATAGTTGCAGATTTGTTTTAACTAAATGATCTTTTATTGGATTTGGGACCTGCTCTACAGGAGGTATTTTATGCTCAGTGCTGCAACCTGTTTAAAAGCTCATGACTAAGGAGTTCATAGGCCCTGGGGTGGTGTGAGCACCTACAACTGTTGTTTGCTAAGTGGCCATTCTGTCAAAATGTATTACTGTCATGAATCACTGCAGCTGTGGTCACTTACACAAAAGCTGTACAAGATAAAGCCAATCAAAATCCCAGCATGGATGGGATCTTGTGCCAGCTAGAGGAGCTATTGGCAGTTGATGGCTATAGAGGGAGGGAGAATCACTAGCCTTTGGGGACTTGGATTCTAGTATGTTGCTCAAGCCTGAATGGAAGGGTACACACCCATGCACATGTGGGCAGCACTAATTAGGCTCAGAAAGTTGTTATAATAACAGACAAAGAAAAGTTGAAGTTAGGAGGAACATGGGGTGGGGGGCACTAGGAGTAACATGGGGTGGGAGGGCACTAGGAGGAGGAAGGTATTGGTAGATGGAAATGATCAATTTAGATTATAAGTATATATGACATTTCAAAGAATAAAAATAGTATTAAAAAGAAAAACTGCAGGAGGCTGGACTTTCCTTTTTGTAGAGGCGTTGGTTCTACCTGTGGTGGGCTGTCAACTCTGCTATAGTCATGTGGCCAGGTTCAAAGCACACTTCACTGTTTCCCTAACACCTTGTGTAGAAGTTCCCAGCAATAATCTAGTTAATGCTGAGGTGCTGGGGCAATTCTACACTGGACTATAGAGTTGGCCAACATGAGGTGTCTTAAAGCCCTCACTAAAATGGGTTCACTCGGTCTCAAAGATTCCGTCAGGAGTCTTTTCATTAATTTGTGAAGAACTGTTATTTATCTAATTGTTCATTTTGACACGGGCTAGCTAAGCTGGTCTCTAACTCACTCACAGTGTAGCTGAAGATGACCTTGAACTCCCGATCTTCCTGTTTGCATCTCTTCAGTGCTGGGATTGGAGATGAACTCTCCCTGTCAATTGCCCAATCAATTCAGTGCTGGGCAAGCACTCTATCAACTGTGCTACATCCCCACCCCACACATTTTCATTTTTACAATACTTTCTAAACATTTTGTAGAAAAAATGGTGTGTTCTATTTAGAGGACTCTTTTATTATCTTTTACAGCTAGTGTGGGTGGGACAGCGCCATGGTCATCTGTGTACTGCTTAATGTTCAGGCCAAGTCTCCTGAGACAAAAGAGTCAGACTGGCATGCCAACATCTTCTAAAGGGGCTTATTTATTTCTGTGTGTATTAACTTAATGGTGTCAGTCCTAAAAGCAGATTTTAAGTCTCTGATCTACAATCTTCACAAAGTAGGTTCTTATTATTAATAGAAGTGCTGCAAGTATTTCCATGTTTATTCTGTCAGCATTCTGCATCATTATTCTGTGCAAGGCCTTATGCTAAAGGATGGGTTTTCAGAGAAGAGACTGACCTCTGACCTCAAGAAGCTCACAGGTCACAGTTGGAGAGCTCAGGGTTCTGGTAGAATCTGCTGGAGATAGGACAGGAGTGGCAGCTGCGCTGAGATTTCTTGAGAGTTAGCTGTAAAGTTTCCTTTTCTTACCTTTGGAAATGTGAGCATGCATGTGTGTGTATGTGTGTGCATGTGGTGTGTGTGTGTGTGTGTGTGTGTGTGTGTGTGTGTGTGTGTATATGCGTATGTGTGTATGTGCATGAGCCGTGCACATGCATGTGTGCATGAGGGTGTGTGTATGTGTATGCATGCATGTGTGCATGTGTGTAGAAGTCAGGGGTCAGTCTCAGATGTTATTCTTTGGTAGCCATCATCTTGGTTTCTGAAATAGGGTCTCTCATTGGCCAGAAGCTCACCAATTTAGTTTGGTTGACCAGTCAATGGCTTTCTGGGAGCTGCTTATTTCCATCCCACCATCTCTGTGCTTGCAAGTTGATCTCACCATATTTGGCTCTTTAACCTGTGTTCTGAAGATGGAACTCGGGTCCTCATGCTTGTGTGGAAACTGACTCTCCTCCCCAACCCCAATCAGCAAAGTTTCTTGGACATGATAACTCCAGAGGATTATCTAAGTAGTGAGTAGGGATTAGATGAGGGTTGGGCATTTGATTTAGGAGACACTTGAAACATATTTACCTAATAGTACTTTCACCATTTTCATGCTTACCAATCTCACTATGCCATGGTAATGAAAGGCCCCAAGCTGGTT